ATTGCTTCTGGGTATCCTCTTCACCGCTACTATTTGATGCCAGCAGTTTTTCAAAATGCTCCTTCCAGATCCTCAACAGGTTTCTTTCTTCATTTCCACAGGCGAATGTGCCTGCACTAAAGCCTTGTGTTTGGTGTTTTACCCGTTGGTGGAATTTTCGGACTTCATTCTGACTCTTGTACATCTCGATTAGCTCACGCTCACGTTTTTCTTATTCTTTCGGTTTTTTTCCGAAAATACGTTTCTCCTCCCTCCTTTGATCATACCACGGATTTCTTGATGGTGGTATTTGATGGTGGTGTTGCTTTTGCTGCAATTTGTAGGGAGTGGGCAATTCTCTGCCACGGTGCTTCTATATTATTATCGGGACAAGGGGTGCTTTCGTCAAACAGTTGGGTAAGTTGAGCGGAGTAGCAGAAGCCTACTGTTGTGTTTGCAGATTTTCGACGTCGAGTTTCCGTGTTATATTAGATCACACCTTTGTTAAGACGAGTGCGATCCTTGGCTGCTACAAGGTAACGGTCCGAATCTATATTCGCTCCTCGGATTGATCGAACGTCTATAACACTGGACGAATGCCTTCCGTCTATCACAACATGACCGATTTGATTTCTCGTTACTGGATCTCTCCTGATCTTCCAAGTGGCCTTGTGTATATCGAGATGCTTGAATCTGGTGCTGTTAACTACCATGTTTTTTGCTGCAGCGAAGTCAATCAACCTCGTGCCGTTGTCGGATGTTTCTTCATGAAGGCTGAATTTTCCGACGGCGGGGCCAAATATATTTTTCCTTCCGATTTTTGCAGTAAAATCTCCTAGCAGAATTTCCTCATTGCTAGGGCAACGGTATGTCTTTGGTCTGCTCATCTTTATCTTCGGTCGGAGCATGGGCGCAAATGAGATATGGATTATAGCAATTCGCTCATCTACTGGAGTGAATCTAGAGACAAAGTCTTTTATTCTCTTGTTAATAAAAAATCCATAGCCAAATGCATGTCTCGTTTCATGGCAGCTATAATACAGGGCGTAATCTTCTGATTTACTTACGCCAGTCCCTTCCCATCGCATTTCCTGTAAGGCAATAATATCGGCTATGTACTTCTTGAGTACATACGCCAAAGCGAACACTGCGGCTGTTCTGTACAACGAGCGCACATTCCAATTGCAGGTCGTTTGCGGGGGTCGTCAACATTAGGTGGGTGCGGTTTTCTTTTTCTTAGCTTTTTCATAGTAGGTACGGTTTTAAGAGTGTGGGAAACTAACCCGATGCCTCAACCCATTTTTTATAGTTCTTATGGGTGAACTGGCGGCACATATTAGCTCACTATTTCATCGGGTGATGAAAATAGGTACCCCAGGTGACACCACAAAAGATGTGGATTTTTTAATGAATATTTTTTCAAGCCTTACAAGAGGCGTTTTTAAAGAATATCTTTTCAAGGCCTTACAAACGGCGTGGATTTTTAAAGATTATTTTTTCAAGGCCTTACAAAAGGCGAATAATTTTCCAAGGCCTTTATTAATTTGTCTGCAAAATGACAATTTCAAGCTCCCATTCCATAATTTCAACTAGCGAGTCTTTCTGATTAAATTTGCTAAATGTTCCAAACCATTCTAAAAAAAAAACTTCAATATCAAATAAACATTAGCACCACCATGCAGATTTGATCCGCTCTAATCCATCGCCAGAAGAAAACCATATCGTTCATTATGCATCTTCGAATTGATTTCATCATCATTTCCTCTGAATTGCTTTTTTGAAATGAGAGTTGACTTTTTCTGTTGTTTTTGTTGTTCTTTTTCCAGGTTATCAAACGTCAACAAATCCATATTTCGGTGCTACCGTTGGCCGTGTATGCAATCGTGTTGGCAACGGTCGTTTCACGCTGAACGGTCAAGAGATACAGGTCTCTCGTAACCTGAACAACAAACACCAATTGCACGGCGGCTTTATTGGCTTCGACAAAGTCCACTGGCTAGTGGTGGGCCGACATCAAGACGGTGTAACACTTCAGCATTGTTCACCGGATGGCCATGAAGGATATCCGGGCGAAGTAACCGCAACAGTCAAAATCTCATTGACCGAGGACAATTGTCTACATCTGCTGATGCAGGCAAAGACGACCAAAACAACGGCTGTCAATATGACAAATCATAGCTATTTCAATTTGGCCGGACATGTAAGTACGACGATTCGATTCAAATCGAATCGATTGATGCTATTCGCATTACGTTTTCAGATTAAGGCATATTTTTTCCGGCTGTGCTGCAGTTTGGAAAATGACATGTACACAGGATGACGACAATGAAGGAATGGTTTGCTTGGCTAGTTGCCGGGGCATTGAACACATATGTTACTCTGCTCGGCCTCGGCAATAGTTTTGCCATGATTGAGTTGAGGATTAGATTGCAACAGAACAGAATACACGATAAAATCTTCTTTTGCAAAGAGGAAATGGTAGGGAATTCAAATGAAATTGAAATTGTCGGAAGGATATGTTAGAATGTTATGAACACACAAAGAGGGATAGAAGGGGGTGGGGGTTTAGGACAAGCAAACCTGTACGGACAGGTTATACATGGAGCAAAAAAAAATCAGATGTCGAAGAATTTTTCCGCATAAGGTGGACAAAAGAAAAACATCGCAAACATAAGACTAAGATTTATGACCGGCATGCCACCAACAATCGAACATGTTCGGACATTGTGCAGCTTAGTGGAAGCGCATGGCTTCATTGAAATGCACCATGCATACGATTCGATAACCGTTGCAAATTGAAAATGTAAATTTTATAAAACACCCCATTGCAATTTTATTCAAATTGTATTAGGGAATCTGGAAAATAGATATATTTGTTTTATTGTTAAGCATGAGCATTGTTTCCGGGACATTTTTTAGGTGGGAAATATGAATAAGGACTGCTTAAGGACCACTAACACAAAGTATTCGTATAGACGCCCAGAAGATATTTTCATATAAAACAGAAGGTTTTCTTCTTGGAGACCAGAAGGGTTTCTTCTGTAAAACCAAAAGGTCTTCTCATAGAAGACAAACTGTTTTTCTCAAATAACCTAAGACTTCCAGGTCATCTATTGATCTTCTCATAGAATACCGGAAGGACTTCTTGTAGAAGACCAGAAGGACTTCTTCTAGAATACCAGAAGGTCTTTTTGTAAAGGCCAGAATGTCTATAACAAGACCTTTTGGTATTCTACAAGAAGGCATTCTGGTCTTCTATAGGAAGTTAAAATGTCGATTAAAAATCCTAACAGGTCCCTGTAGAAACTTCTGACCATCGTCCATCATGTAATTTTCTTTGGCGTTTCGTGTGAACATTTATGTTGTATTTAATTTAAACCTAAATGGTCTGAAGCACCCTGTAAAAACAGCTGATTTATCTTGCTGTTCATTTGTTAGGGGAAACGACTATGACATTTTTTGTAAACTTCTGTGAACAACCTCTTAATGTTTCTGGGATTCTTAAAGAAAAATATGATGTTGAGATTACCCTGTATAAGCAGCTGGATCTCTTTCCTTAACATTAAGACGAGAAATAAATTATCTGAAACACCCTGTACCAAACATCTGATTTATCTTCCTGATTATTTGGAAGAGGAAATTCTAGTATTAGAGATGTTTTTATGCTCCAAGATTGGATTTAATTTCTTCTATAGATAAATTTCAATCTATATTGAAAGGAACACCTTTTAATCTGATTTATAACGCTGTCATGGTTTAGTAAAACGATGCGATGGACAGTTCAGATAGTACAGGTATAGGGGGTTCGGACTGTTCACACATTTTGATTTGGATATTACAATGTAGGTTGACTCCAATAATCGTTTTCAAAAACTAAGACCAAAAATCTTATAAAAGACTAGAGAGTCTTCCTATAGAAGACCAGAAGCCCTTCCTATAGAAGACCAAAAATTATTCCTTCTTATAGAAGACCACAAGAACTTTTTATACTACAGACCACAAGGACCTTTTATACTTTATAGGATGCCGGAAGGTTTTTTTTTTTTTTTTTTGTAGATAATCAGTAAATCTTAAGGAAGGAGGGTGGTCTTCGTTTTGGAAGATTTTTTAATTTTGCATATCGAAGATTATAAGGCCTTCTTATTTTTTTATACCCTAGACAACTATGTTGTCAGGGTATTATAGCTTTGTGCAGCCCCAAAAGTTTGTAATGTCGCGAAATATTAGTCCTAGACCCACCTTTAAGTATACCGATCGTCATATGTCCACTAGCTGAGACGATCTAGACATGTGTGTCCGTCCGTCCGTCGGTCCGTCTGTCCATTATAATTTGTAAACACGATACAGGCCACAGTTATGAACCAATCTTCACGAAATTTTGCATGTAGGTTGGGTTCTGGCCAATGAAGACCCCTATTTAATATTTAGGGGATGAAATGGACCAAATACTAAATTTTTATCGGTTTTTCTGGTCGCTCCAGAGGCCGCAATAATGGCTCGAACATCGTGAAATTTTGCATGGAGAAGGGGATCAGGCCAAAGAATAAGCATGCCGGTTTTGATAAAGATAGGTCAATATTTAGCGGGTCAAATGGAACTTGACATTTGTGTGAAAAATGAAAAAAATTGTATTCTATAGCGTATATATATTTACCCCTGAAGGACATAGACCCGAGAAGTTGATATTATATCCAAGACGAGATGTTGACCTTTAAATTAAGACCAATTATATTGTTGTATGTGCTCGGATGTGGGAGTTAAACCTAAATATTTACTGGTATCTCCGTATATTATATTATTTAGTAACCCATTATCACTCTAGAGATCGGAACTATAGCGCTGATCGCTTTGAAATGTTCCATGAGGTTCCAGTTATGGTGAAGGACAACGCCTATAATTTTCGGAAATGATCAGACAATAATATTGGGATGAAGAGGACCGAAAACTTAATTTTTTGTGTTATTTTCGAGTCGAGTCGAACATCACAACACAACCCACGGTGAAGGGAATCTGGACAATAGCTGTACTGAATACTCGTAATATCCGGAAAATATGTCAGTGTGAGGAAGAGGTGCTGTTTACATCTAATCGGGCAAGATGGTGCAAATATCACGAAATATTGCCCAGGCTCGGAATAAACATCAGCAGAAAATTTGAGTTCCGTGGTAGTTGTGTAGGGTATCGTATGGTCGGCCCCGTCCGACTATACTGCTCCGCTCACTGGTTTTTAAGTTATTTTTGGAGGATATAAGTAATTCTTTTTATAGTTAATCAGAAGTTTCTCCTTCTACATGAATTTATTAACCACGTCTGCCCTCAGATGAATTTCTAAATTCCCTTTATGAATCCCCTTTACTTAAAAAAAGGGGTTGACTGACCAACCCCTTTTTAAGTGTGACATTAAAATGTAATCCCCTTTCCCATCCGTTGTGTTATTTAAAAATCAATGTAATATGCGGAGATTATGTCATTTTTATGATATCAAAGTGACATAATTTAATTAATGATGACAATGGCCTTAGATGAGAAATAGTCATAATCCCCAAATCAAAATCAATGGCATTTAAATGTAATTTAAAAGTCCCCCCTTAAATGAATTTGATGGATGACTAAGGAAAACATTAATGAGTCACACAGAAACAATAAAACCAATAAGTAGAAGTGAAATAGGGTAGGGGAAAAGTTCAAGTCGTTTAAAATATATAAAATCAGACGACAGATCGTGGGTGAATTGTGTTCTTGCAAAACTGGTTTGCCGCAAAAATTTAATTAGCACGTTTGTATCATATACTGCGAAGTCGAAGACATTGAATATCGATTTAGGTCAATAACCAGTGAGCGGAACAGTATAGTTGGACAGGACCGACCATATGAAACCCTACACAACTTCCAAGAAAATCTAACTTTGTGTGGTTCTACATTCTGATCTTGGGCAATATTTGCACTCTCTTGACCTTTACCGTGTGTTGTTATGTTCGGGTTTCAATTGTGGCCTATAGAAAAAAAAAACCAAACAATTAAGTTTTCGGTCCACTTTATACCAATATTACTATCTGATCATCACCGGAAATTATAGACGTTGTTTTTGACAATACCTGTTTTAAATATTAACATATCTTTACCAAAAACAATAGGGGTCTTCGTTGGCCAGAACCCATCCTACACGCAAAATTTTGTGAAGATTGGTCCATAACTGTGGCCTGTGTCGTGTTTACAAATTATAATGGACAGACGGACGGACGGACACACATGTCTAGATCGACTCAGCTAGTCGAGATATGACGATCGCTATACTTAAAGGTGGGTCTAGGACCAACCCTCCAACCTTCATTTTAATTGCAAATTTAAGGATATCCGCTCACACAAAACTAATTGTTCCATATATAGTACTATTTAGTACACATAAGTACTAAGCTTCCATATCTCAATTCTATCTTTCAACATCAGCCATTATTCTAAATTTTAGGTTTCCAGCTCTCTCCGTCCAATCAAATCCAAATTGTACCAAACCTAGTGCCGTTTACTACTTTTCGCCTTACACATAAATACGAATTTCCAAAAATGTCTCTATACCTCAATCTTCAACAATATTCTTAATTCCAAATTTCAGGTTTTCAGCTCTCTCCTTTCAAGCAAAATCCAAATTGTACAAAATTTAGTACCATAAAGTACTTTTCGTACCAAAAATTACGAATTTTCTTGAACGACTACAACAGTCATTATAATTATACAACTAATCCAAGTTGCACCAAATTTAGACCCATTTTGTACTTTTTATACAAATAAGTACGATTTATTGAAACCACATCCCTACATCAATACCAGTTCCCAACCTGTATTCCATATATATATATATATATTGTTTTTGTTTTGTTTTTGACAATACCTGTTTTAAATATTAACATATCTTTACCAAAAACAATAGGGGTCTTCGTTGGCCAGAACCCATCCTACACGCAAAATTTTGTGAAGATTGGTCCATAACTGTGGCCTGTGTCGTGTTTACAAATTATAATGGACAGACGGACGGACGGACACACATGTCTAGATCGACTCAGCTAGTCGAGATATGACGATCGCTATACTTAAAGGTGGGTCTAGGACCAACCCTCCAACCTTCATTTTAATTGCAAATTTAAGGATATCCGCTCACACAAAACTAATTGTTCCATATATAGTACTATTTAGTACACATAAGTACTAAGCTTCCATATCTCAATTCTATCTTTCAACATCAGCCATTATTCTAAATTTTAGGTTTCCAGCTCTCTCCGTCCAATCAAATCCAAATTGTACCAAACCTAGTGCCGTTTACTACTTTTCGCCTTACACATAAATACGAATTTCCAAAAATGTCTCTATACCTCAATCTTCAACAATATTCTTAATTCCAAATTTCAGGTTTTCAGCTCTCTCCTTTCAAGCAAAATCCAAATTGTACAAAATTTAGTACCATAAAGTACTTTTCGTACCAAAAATTACGAATTTTCTTGAACGACTACAACAGTCATTATAATTATACAACTAATCCAAGTTGCACCAAATTTAGACCCATTTTGTACTTTTTATACAAATAAGTACGATTTATTGAAACCACATCCCTACATCAATACCAGTTCCCAACCTGTATTCCATATATATATATATATATATATATATACAACCAAATTTAGTAAAGATTAGTACCTTTCGTACACTTACTTACTTAGCTGGCTTGTTACAGAACGGTTGTTCCATAAGCCGAGCTTAAAAAAGATTTCTAAGCGCGTGGGTCTTGTGTGCAAGTCCACCAATTTGGAAGACCACGTTCCAAGATGTTGTTTTCTACTTGGTCTTTCCATCTAATTCGTGGCCTTCCCCTTCTACGGGAACCATCAGTAGGCTCATTTTTATATGCCTTTTGAGCTGGGGCATTTTCATACATCCGCACAACATAGCCTAGCCACCGTAGTCCCTGCAGCTCAATACGACTGCCTATGTCGATGTCCGCGTATAAATTGTAAATCTCGTGGTTCATTCGACGCCGATATTCACCGTCGACGCAGATCGGCCCGTACATCTTACAGAGAATTTTTCTCTCAAAAACCCCCAGAACTGAATCATCTGCTTGCGCAAATACCCATGCTTCTGATCCATATAATAGCACAGGTAGTATCGGCGTCTTGTAAAGTGTGAGTTTGGTATGGCGGGAGGTGGCCTTGTTTCTAAACTCCTTACTTAGACCATAGTAGCATCTGTTGGCCATCACAATCCTTCTCCGGCCATCACAATCTCGTCGTTTATTCGACGCCGATATTCACCGTCGACGCAGATCGGACCGTAGATCTTTCGGAGAATTTTTCTCTCAAACACCCCAAGCTGCCTCATCTGCTTGCGCAAGTACCCATGCTTCTGATCCATATAATAGCACGTGTAGTATCAGCGTCTTGTTGAGTGTTAGTTTGGTCTGGCGGGAGGTGGCCTTGTTTCTAAACTGCTTACTTAGATCATAGTAGCATCTGTTGGCCATCACAATCCTTCTCCGAATTTCAAAACTGATGTCATTCGTTTTATTTATGGCGGTACCAAGGTATATAAAGTCTTTAACTACCTCAAAGCTGTAGTTCTCAAGTTCCACAGTTGGTCCGAGTGTACTGGACGTCTTGCGCGTTGATACCAGACCCACTTTGGCAGACTCCTTTTCAATTTGTTCAAAGGTGCCTGTTACCGCTCGCAATGTTCGACCCATTATATCGATGACATCGGCGTAGGCGAGTAACATGTGTTGTTTGGTGTACAGAGTGCCATTTCTGTTCACCTTTGCGTCTCGTATGACCTTTTCCAGTAGGATGTTAAAAAGATCACGCGACAAACTGTCACCTTGTCTGAATCCTCGTTCGGTATTGAAGGGCTCCGATAGGTCCTTTCCTACTTTAACTGTTGACCTTGTGCCACTTAAAGTTATCCTGCATAGCCGTATTAATTTTGCAGGAATGCTGAACGCAGGCATGACTTTAAACACCTCTGAACGGATAGGGCTGTCGAAAGCGGCTTTATAATCGACAAATAGGTGGTATGTGTCGATGTGTTTTTCGTGGGTCTTTTCCAATATTTGGCACAGAGTGAAAATCTGGTCAATGGTGAATTTGCCAGGTTTGAAGCCGCATTGGTATGGTCCGATGATGTCATTGACCATTGGCTTAATCGTTCGCACAGCACACTGGATAGCACTTTATATGCGATGGAAAGGAGACTTATTCCTCTATAGTTGGCACATATCGTCTTGTCTCCTTTTTGTGCACGGGACACATGATGCTGAGGTTCCAATCATTGGGCATGCATTCATCTAACCAAATTGTGCTAATCAGCTGATGCATGCTCCTGCCCAGCATCTGACCACCAGTCTTGAATAGTTCGGCTGGTAACCCATCGGCTTCTGCTGCTTTGCTGTTCTTGAGCCGATTAATTGCTTTGGCAGACTCCTTTTCAATTTGTTCAAAGGTGGCTGTTACCGCTCGCAATGTTCGACCCATTATATCGATGTCATCGGCGTAGGCGAGTAACATGTGTTGTTTAGTGTACAGAGTGCCATTTCTGTTCACCTTTGCGTCTCGTATGACCTTTTCAGTAGGATATTAAAAAGATCACACGACAAACTGTCACCTTGTCTTGGCTAGGTGGTATACACTCTATACCATCATCTCTTATTGGTTCTGGGGTATCTTCTTCATCGCCACTATTTGATACTAGAAGCTTTTCGAAATGCTCCTTCCATTCGTACACTTATAGGTCGAATTTCCAAAAAAAACCCTTTTGTACATCTTTTTAACTTTCCATCAGTGACCCACATTCTAAATTTCTAGCTCTTCTTTTCGTACCCTTCTAGTTCGAATTTCCACTCACGCGTACACACCAACCCACACTCATAATTTCAAGCTTCTAGCTTTAGCCGTTTCGTCTGGGCGATGATCTGTCGGTCAGTCACTCACTCACTTAACACAAATCTCTTTTATATATTAAGATACGTTTTTTTCAAAGACCATTTTTGGGAAAGTACCAGAAAGGGTGGGCCAGTGGGTTTCATCTTCGGACTTTTTCTAGTATTCCATTCCTTCGAACTCCCGACAATTGTTTACAGAAAACTCAGTCACGTAACTACCACTTTTAAAATTTAAATTATTATACATTCTCAAATTTTGTATGAATAATACTAAGCAGTCAATTTATCTTTACACACCAAGACGATAATTTCCGATTTATAAACATCATTAGCACTTTCAAACAATCAACTTCTAAAAACAGATCATCGACTTACATTGTCATGAGACAACCGCAATTGTGGTGAAAGATACACGTGTTTAACCGCAACAATATCTAAGTAATACCCAAAGATAAAATCAATACCACAAAATTATCGTAAGCCATTAATTGGCAAATAATGGAATGTAGTAATTTGACACCTGTCATATAAAAGAAAATGTTGATCGATGCTCCACAATCCAAATTACCTAATTAAATTCGACACAAAGTTGGAAGAGGAATTTAATTGCTTCTATTTTCATTTCTTTGGTAGGCAGCTGGCAAGGAAGCCATCTATGGACATGAGGTAATGATTAATGCTGATAAAATAACCGAAACCGATGATGACTCTATACCGACTGGTAATTTTACACCTGTCGAAGGTACCGCCTACGATGTAAGGAAGATGACCAATCTGGGTGAAGGCATAAAGAACTTATTGCCCACCAATGGTTATGATGATAACTATTGTGTGGATAAAAATTATGATGGCAATCGTATTAATGTTATTGGAAAGTAAGTTAAAATGTAGCAGATTTTTTTTTCAATTTTCATTACTTTTAAATTCTCAATACAATTTCTCTTCAATTCAATTATTTGTAGAGCCTTTTATCCCCCCAATGGCCGTTGGTTGGAAATTGCCAGTAATCAACCTGGAGTACAATTCTATACCTCGAATGGTATGCCCGATACTGAAAAGGGAGTGGTAAGTCCAACAAAAACACCAGTATTGTATTACATATATATATATATATATTGTATAATATATCGAAAGCCTCAATTCGCCGAAAGAAACATATCATTCAACATAAACGTATTAAGAGGGTCTCATTTTTTTACATTTTATTCTACGAAATTACACAGCAGCCACTACCATTCATTGATGGTGGAAAATATTTCTGTTTCCAATGAAAACAAAAAAATGCATCGAAATCCTTGAATTTGAAAAAGAAAAACTTTTTTTCTTGCCTATCCAACATCTACAATAGCAACAACAGAATGCACATACTTGTTTTCCTATATGCGGAAAACTCCAATCAAATGAAATTAATTAAAAATCTATAATCTGCAATAGTATGCAGATTTTTTCCGTTGAAAGACATAAAAGAATTTAGCATGGGAATAAAAAAACAACAATTACAACCACATAGACAAAATGGGAGTAAAACAAGTCAAATCGTCGTAAAGTTCGACCAGGCCGAATTGTTTATACCCTCCACCACGGCGCGTGCATTCAAAATTCTTGAAATCAATGTGGACCTTTATGTGGGTATTATTTCCAAATTTCAGACACTGAGGTTGGAAAACTGCGGTAAGAACTTCAACATACCCCCAAAAAACTGGACATCTGCAGGGTCTGTTTAAATAATTTCTGGGGTTTTATTTATCAGAAATCCGACATGGTACATGTGGTGGCCAATTCGATGAGAAATTTAGATTAAAAACTTTACAAGGGTGAACATGAGTCAGGACCTTCATGTGAGTGCTATATCTCACTTGGACCCATATAGAAATTGTTTGGCAAGGACGTGTTTTACCCTCCAATTAAGGACACTAAAATGGGGAAAACACGGCAAAAACCTTTACAATTGTCACAATGGGAACCTTTCCTATTTTGGGGGTTATGTCAAAACATGGCATACATATCTGTAGATATGTATGCCAGCCTTCAAAAGGGCTTTATACCAAACTAGAGCCACAACTGTGGGAAAATGTTGTTAAAGACTTCCAAATGGACTGGTACCGGTATATGATAGCCATACCAAAACATAAAGCTGTATTGAAGAGTTTTAATAAGAAGATTGGACAACCCACGAGAAAAAATTATCCCAAAATGTCCCAAAATATTGAATAAAATACCATTATATGGTGGCTACCCGGAATCTTGGTCAATATTGATAATTTTTGATAGCGAGATTTGTTACTTACTTACTTAGCTGGCTTTTGACAGAACTTTCGTTCCATAAGCCGAGCTTAAAAAAGATTTCCAGGCTCGTCGGTCTTTTGCGCAGTTCATCTTTCCATCTTATTCGTGGCCCTCCTCTTCTTCGTGAACCATCAGCTGGTTCGCTTTTATATGCCTTCTGGGCTGGGGCATCTTCATCCATTCTCACAACATGACCTAGCCAACGTAGTCGCTGCAGTTCAATACGTCTAACAATGCCGATGTCCGAGAATTGCTGGTACAACTCATGGTTCATTCAACGGCGGCATTCACCGTCAGCGCAGATCGGCCCATAGATCTTTCGGAGAATTTTTCTCTCAAACACCCCAAGCGCTGCCTCATCTGCTTGCGCAAGTACCCATGCTTCTGATCCATATAACAGCACGGGTAGTATCAGCGTCTAGTAGAGTGTGAGTTTGTTCTGGCGGGAAGTGGTCTTGCTTTTGATTTGTTTGCTCAGACCATAGTAGCATCTGTTGGCCAGCACTATCCTTCTCCGAATCTCAAAACTGATGTCATTCGTTTTATTTATGGTGGTACCAAGATATATATAAAATCTTTGACTACCTCGAAGCTGTAGTTTTCAAGTTCCACAGTTGGTCCGAGTCTACTGGACGTCTTGCGCGTTGATACCATCAGCTTGGTCCTCTCGCCATTTACTGCCAGACCCACTTTGGCAGACTCCTTCTACATTTGTTCAAAGGTGGCTGTTACCGCTCTCAATGTTCGACCCATTATGTCGATGTCATCGGCGTAGGCGAGTAACATGTGTTGTTTGTTGTACAGAGTGCCATTTCTGTTAACTTTTGCCTCTCGTATGACGTTTTCCAGCACGATGTTAAAACGGTCACACGACAAACTGTCACCTTGTATGAATCCTCGGTATTAAACGGCTCCGAGAGGTCCTTTCCGACTTTAACTACTGATCTTGTGCCAGTAAAAGTTATCCTGCATAGCCGAATTAATTTTGCAGGAATGCCAAATGCAGACATGGCTTTATACAGCTATGAATGGATAGGACTGTCGAATGCGGCTTTATAGTCGACGACGATAGACGATAGGTGAGAGATATTTTGCTCAATGAAAATATAACATTACAGACAATTTGGTTAAAACTCTAGGGCTACCCCATGCGGGCCAGCCCAAAACATGGGTCAATGTCTGATCAGTTATCATCCTGTCAATGATCCTAATATCATATTAGATTATGTTGAAAAAACTTGCAAAAGCTTCCAAATACAAATATAATATTGGGGTGTACCTTATACGGGGGCTACCCCATAAAAAATGGACCAATGTAGAAAATTTTTAGTACGAAAATTGTATACACATTGAAAACCCAAAATGCCAAATTAAGGGGACGACCCCCCCCCCCCCCCCTTCTCGGGGTCAAAATTTTTGTTGACTTAATTCCAATCTACACTCATTCAAGAACGTCCCTGCAAAATTTCAAGTAAAAATCTCAAGAACTCTTGAAGATATAGCCGATTTATTGTGTCAGCATCAAGTGACGGCTGAAGGGCTTCTCAAACTTTAAACTCGTTTTTGTCTACACATTTTTTTGCGAATGGCGGGCACGATAACTCAAAAACTAATAACCCAATCGATTTCAAATTTTTACACGTTTCTCTGTGAGTGTATAGCTATCGTATGAACTAGGATAAAGCCAATCGGTGAAGATCTTCCTTATTTTTTAACTTGGTTTTTGGTAAAAAATCGCCGATTTTCCAAAAATATTTTTTCAAAGGTCCGCCATTTTGTTAATTTTAGAGCGAAGTCAATAATCCTAGTTCATACGAGAGCCAGACATGTACTCTTTGTAACACCGTTGGAATTTTCGGATTCCGATGTGTTTCTTTGATCACAAAAAACAACAACAAAAATTGTTTGTAAATTATTTTTCTTCCTTTTTAAATCTTCAAATATATATGTGCAAAGTTACAAACTTTAACAAGCATTGGTATTCATTTACCAGCCCATTAAAATCTTAAAAATAAAAAATCGAGAATGGGGGGGTTCCCTTAAAGCGAAGTGTGTTGTAAATGTGTTCAAAAACTTCAAAATATCGAATATTGTGGGGTACCCTAAAAGGTGGGCCGACGAGTATAGCTAAATCGACATGCCACTTTTCATATAATTGTATCTCCAGAGATTTGAATCCATTCCGTTGAAAACCGTGCTCAAAAACTTAAAAAGTCATATATTTAGGGCATGGTTACATGCGGACTACTCTAAAATATACCGATATTGAGAATTTTTAGTAGGAAAATTGTATACACACTGAGCACTCAAAATGCCAAATTAAGACAATTTCGTTGAAACCCATGCCCAAAAGCTTGTAAGTAAAAGCATGTATGCACGAAATTTCAAAGGTCTTTCTCCAATATATCGAAATTTAATCGACATAGAAATTTTCATAGAATTGGGTCTTCAACGATTATTTCGAGGTTATGCAAACAGAATGATAATTTTAATAGAGTGCAGTACGGTTATAGCGACCTAGTAGGGACCAAGCAAATTAGTTCGATTGTATACACTTCACCATATGGTGGACGGTTTAAGAGCAGTGAGCGGAGCAATATAGACAAGCGGGCCCATTATATGATACCCCACACAACAACTGTAGTTTAGCTTTCAGTCTAGCTAAATTCTGAACATGGTTCTGAGCGATATATACATGGTTTAAATATGAGTATATGCCCTTAAAAATGACTTTATCCCGCATATCAGTTCGCTAGCCTCTATCGCATTTATATTATGTTAAAAGTCAACCATCCGACATTCACACTTTCCCGGTTATGTCTTTCCGCAGTGAATGTATACCCCATACTTTGCAACAAATTAGTTTACGGCCGGCCAATCGCCTTCTATGCGTAAAAAGAGAAAAAATAAATAAAAGACGAAACCAGTTAGAAGGTCAGCATAATTGGACGGGGCCGACCATATGATTCCCTATATAAATACCAGTGAACTATAACTTTCCTCGATATTTCGAGCATGGACAATATATCGAGAAATGTAGGGGCCAACAAACCCTCTCTCTTTCTTACACTGGCATCTTTTCGGAATCATGGTTTAGTTGTTCGATGTAAATGTTGTGATATTCGTCTTATAATAGTGGCCTCTATAGCGGGTAGAAAACCAGACAACAATAAAGCTTTTGGTCCATTTCATTCCATAAATATCATCTGATCATGACAGAAAATTAATTGTGTCGTCCTTGATCATAACAGAAATTTCATCAGAGCGACATTTCCGCCCTCTATGTAAGAATATCAGAATACGGAGACGACTGTAAATATTTACGTATAACTTCCAAATCCGAGTAAAATAAATTGAAAGGTCAACCTATACTGACTACTTCTCCTGTCAATGTATTTTAAAAGGAAATATATTCGTCATAGAATAACATTTTCCCATATTGGCCTTAGGATAAGCCTAAGGTTAAGGTTCAGTTTCATTATCGGTATTTTGAAGATTTTAGATGAATTTTCTTACCAAAGAGGCTACAATTTGGGATTCCGTGTTTTTAAGGGATGAATGATTTCTTTGCAGAAAATATTAAATATTCAATGTTTAGACAGAATCTATATATAAAGGTTCCGTACCATGGGTTCATGTTTTGAAATAGGTCCTAGGTTCATACTTTTGGCCGATTTCCAAACAGTAGTGGCAGTAATTTGACATTCCGCGTTTGGTTATTGTCCCAAATAGAGAAGGATCCACTATAAGGACTGTAATGTTGGCTTCCGGATTCCGGG